TTGAAAGATTCTCTTGGGTTTTCAAAGTATTGCATCATGTCATCTGCAAAGAGGGATAACTTGACTTCTTCTTTTCCTATTTGGAAGCCCCTGATCTCCTTATCTTGTCTGATTGCTCTAACTAGGACTTGTAAAACTATGTTGAAACGGAGAAACGAGAGTGGGCATCCTTGTCTTTTTCCAGTTTTCAGGGGAAATATTTCCAATTTCTGTCTGTTTAGCAGTATGCTGACTGTGGGTTTCTTGTAGATGGCTCTTACTATTTTGAGGTATGTTCCATCTATGCCTAGATTTTTGAGGGTTTTTATCAAGAAAAAAGGTGCTGGATTTTATCAAAAGCTTTTTCCACATCTAATGATATAATCATGTGGTTTTGTCTTTACATCTGTTAATGTATTTAATTGCATTTATGGTCTTGCACATGTTGAACTAGCCCTGCATCCCGAGGATGAAGCCTACTTGATCATGGCAGGTGAATTTTTAGATGTGTTGTTGAATCTGGTTTGCCAGAATCTTGTTGAGGATTTTAGCATCTATGTTCATCAAGGATATTGTCCTGTAGTTCTTGATCTTTGTTGGATTCTTACCTAGTTTGGGTATCAATGTGATGTTAGTTTCATAAAAATATTTGGGGAGAGATCCATCTTTCTCAGTTGTCTGGTATACTTTTTGGTCCAGGGCTTTTTTGGGTAGGTATAAACTAAATCAGTTGTACTACTTCTTCCCTTATTCAAAGATTCAGCTTTTATCCTAATGGCAGCAGCTGTTTTGGTTAGAGGAAGGAAGACAGAGTTTGTCCGAGGAGGGACTGCTTATTTTTACATATAGATTGTTTGCAATTCATATATTATGAGCATGTGAAAATCTTTGCCAGTGTTGTTCATTAGAGGTCATGATTTTGATTTACCTTGAAAATAGTCTGCTTCAAGTCATTAGAAATGAAAAGTAGACAAAATATTCCTTTATATAGATAATGTAAGTCTGTGAAAAAATAGATAATACTTTAATGGTAGTTTCTAAAGAAGAATCAGACATAACTGAATTATTAGCTATTCCATATAAAATAGCCTTAACTATAACCTTAAAAGCAAATAACACTAATAGACTAATAAATATGAGTCTATTTCAAATCAAGTCACATTATAATTTTTTTTTTGAGTTGGAGTCTCACTCCGTCACCCAGGCTGGAGTTCAGTGGTGAGAACACTCATGGGCACCCCAGTGTCTACCTGCTGGGCTGTGACGATCCTTCTTCCTCAGCCTTCTAAGTAGCTGGAACTATGGACGCATGCTACCACACCCAGCTAATTTTTGATTTATTGTAGAGACAAGGTCTTGCCAAGTTTCCCGGGCTGGTCTCGAACCTGTGGTCTCAGGAAATCCACTTGCCTTGGCCTCCCAATGTTCTGGGATTACAGGCTGAGCCACTGATCCCGGCCCACATTATAAATTGCAACTGTTATAGAATTAGTGCTAGTTGAAATTAACACCAAAAGACATGGGCCTAGGATGAATTTTTCCTTTATTTGTCTAATTTTTTTTTTTTTTGAGTTGGAGTTTCACTCCGTCACCCAGACTGGAGTGCAGTGGCTGCTTCTGGCCACCGCAGCCTCGACCTGCTGGGCTCCGGCAATCCTTCCGCCTCAGCGTTCCGAGTAACCAGAATTACAGGCGCACGCTAGCATGCCTGGCTAATTTTTGATTTATTGTAGAGATGAGGTCATGCCAAGTTGCCCACGCGGGTCTCAAACCCGTGGGCTCAGGCAGTCCACTCACCTCAGCCTCCCAAAGGCGCGGGATTACAGGCTGAGCCACCGAGCCTGGCTTATTTGTCTAATATTTTTACATTTTAAAAAGTAAGGCAACCCCCTTAGGTCCCCTCCCACTGTGGGAGCTTTTCTGTCCTCTTAATAACACCTGCTTTCTTTAAAAAAAAAAGAAAAGTAATAGTGGCAACAAAAGAGAAAATACATAAATTGGACTTATTCAGAATTAAAAACTTGTGCATCAAGGGACACTATGAGCTTAGACAACATAGCAAAACATCTTCTCTACAAAAAAAAAATGTTGGCACACACCTATAGTGCTAGCTGAGTTGGGGGGATTGCTGGGCCCAAGAGGTTGAGGCTGCAATGAACCATGATCATGCCACTGTACTCCAGCCTGGGCTGCAGAGTGAGACCCTGACTCAAAAAAAGGACACTATGAAGAGGTTGGGAAGGCAACAAACCAAGTAAAAAGTATTTTAAAATCATATGTTTGATAAGGGATTAATATCCAGATATATACAGAACCCCTGCAGCTCCACAACAGCAACAACAAAAACAACAACAAAAACCCTACTAAAAATGGGTAGAGTACTTGAATAGACATTTCTTCAAGGATATACACAAATAGCCAATAAGCAAATGAAAAGGTGCTTGACATCATTAGTAATCAGGAAAATGTGAATCAAAACCACAATGAGATACCCACTAGGATGGCTAGAATAAAAAATTAGAGCATAACAAGTATTAGTGAGAACTGAAGCAATTGGAAGCCTCATACACTGCTGGTAGGAGTATAAAGTGGTACATCCACTTTGGAAAACAGTCTGGCAGTTCCTCAAACAGTTAAACACAGAGTTATGTAACCCAGCAAGTCCATTCTTAGATATTACCTAAAATAAATGAAAACACAAAAATTTGTACAAGAATGTTTAAAGCAGAATTATTCATAATAGTCAAAAAGTGGAAACAATCCATATGTTCATCAGTTGACAAATGGATAAGCAAAATATGTCATATTCATATAATGGGATCTTATTCAGCCATAAAAAGAATAATGTACTGATATGTCCTATAACATGAATGAATATTGAAAACATGCTACATGAGAGAAGCCAGTCACAAAAGACCACATATTATATGATTCCATTCTATGAAATGTTCAAAAGAAGAAAATCTATACAGACAGAATGTAGGTTAGTGGTTGCCTAGGACTGAAGGCTTAGGAGATGGTGAATGATAGCTAAAGGATACAGGTTTTGTGTGTGTGCGCGGGTGGTAATAAAAATGTTCTAAAATTAACTGTGGTGACGGTCGCACCGGTCTGTGAATATACTAACAACTATTGAATTCTACACTTTAAATGTGTGAATTATATGATGTATGAACTAAATCTCAATGATGCTGTTTTTTAACTGGTACTGGGAGAATGGGACGGGCACATGTAAAAGACTATGCATTGGATCCTTACCATATATCATATATAACAATTAACTCATAATGGATTAAAGACCTAAATGTGAGCCAAAGCCACAAAAATTCTTAGAGGAAAACATAAGTGTAAATCTTCGTAACTTTGGATATAGCAATGATTCCTTAGATATGACAACAAAAACAAGCAACAAAAGAAAAAAATAGTTAAATCGAACTTCATAAAAATCAAAAGCTTTTGAGATTCATGGATACTATCAAGAAAGTGAAAAGAATAAAGTACTGATACATTCCATACATTAATTTACTTTGAAAACATTATGCTAAGTGAAAGTATCCAGACACTAAAGGACACATATTGAATGAATCCATTTATTTATATAAAGTGACCAGTATAGACAAATTCATAGAGATAGGAAGGAAGTAAATTAGTGTTTACTTCCCAGGAGGCCCAGGAGGTCGCAGCTGTGGTGAGCCATGATCATGCCACTACACTCCAGCCTGAGTTACAGACGGAGGTCCTGACTCAAAAAAAAAGGAAGAGTATATTTGAGTAAAGACTTGAAGGAGACGAGGAAGTTAGCCAAGTAGATATCTGTAAGATGAAAGTCCCAAACCAAGGGAATAGCTAAAACAAAGACCTTGAGGCAGGAATCACCCAGCCATAAGGAACAGCAAGAGGCCAGTGTTACCTGGCACAGAGGTAGGTTGGTGAGTGTTAGAAGAGGAGGTCAAACAAAACCGGCCTGGCGGGTCTTTAAAGCTTGCAGCTTGGCTTTCAAAAGGAAATACCTTTAACAACTACCAACCCCCCTTTCTGCCACAGGGTTAGTGGGAGACATTCTGTCATCCCAGGTGATTGCCATGGGGCCAACTGCTGATTCCGAAGCAGCTACTCATGTGTTTCTGCATTCATTCACTCAATCATACAAGAAATATAGTTGACTATTTGCCGCATTCTGTCACATTCCCCCCTTGATGCTTGATCTTTTATGGATCTAAAGCATCATTATCCTTAATGTGGTACATCAACATTATATGGCCAGAGACTGATAGCTCTCATGGAAATGCAAAAGAGTAACTAATTCACAGACTTATCCAAAACCCCTTTTGAAGTTGACGGTTTACAGACCCTGCTGCCTTGCATTTCCTGGAGACCATTTGTTCTTTGAAAAACCTGATTTTGCTGAGTACAACCTTGTAAGATTCCAAAGAGAATGATTAATCACGCAACACGACCCCCTCCCTTACCTAAATAAGGGTATAAAACCCCTCTTCTTCCATTCTGCGGGGCTTGACCTGGAAGCATTAGTCCCTCGAGCCTGCTGAGCCAGCCAGTGTAATAAAGCGCCACTTCCTATAAAAAAAAAAAGAAGAGGAGGTCAGAGAGGTAAATTTGAAGGGGGGCAGGTATGGTTCATGTAGCAACTCGTTTGCTGTTGTATGGATTTCTGGCAATTTTAATTCGTTTTTAATTATGTCTACTTCTAAATATTAAATGAGATTATGTATGGGAAAAGTTTTAGTAATTAGGAAAGCACTCTATGAGGGCTAGTTACTTTTATTTAAAAGTAATAAAAATTAAATTAATTAAATTAAAATTTTTGCTTTCAGTTAACATTATCATGAAAACAACTTTCCTTTACCTCATCAAAGGGTGACGAAAGCATTTTCTTAAGCAAACAGAAAAGAATGTTCGCCATATTTTATTACTAGCACATTTTTAGTTGGGGAGATGGGGAAAAGTTAAGGTAAGATTATTTTCATGGATGAAATTAATGAGTTTATTGCTTCTGACAGGAATGTAAAGAAGAAATAAAAATGGATCCAAGAAAAGGTGTGAATTCTGTTATCATCTCTGTTGAGGGGATGACTTGCAATTCCTGTGTTTGTTCCATTGAGCAGCAGATTGGAAAAGTGAATGGTGTACATCACATTAAAGTAAGTTACTCTTTAGAAATTGAAGTCAAATGCTGGTGACTAGGATTCTTCTAGGTATTACTTTTAACACTGAGATGGAAACAGATACATTGACACATTTGGCAATAAAGGCTTCTAGCCCTGGAAGCCAAATAAGTTTTCTTTTCCCATTAATTCCTTTTTTTTTTTTTTTTTGAGTTGGATTCTCACTCTGTCACCCAAGCTGGAGTGTAGTGGCATGATCATAACGATCACAGCTCATGACAGCCTCAACCTCCTGTACTCAGGCGATCCTTTCATCTCAGCGTCCTGAGTAGCTGAGATTACAGGCGTGCACTGCCACACCTGGCTAATTTTTTAAAAAACGAGCTTTCGCTATGTTACTAAGTCTAGTCTTGAACTACTAGGCTCAAGCAATCCGCCAACTTCAGCCTCCTAAAGTGCTGGATTTACAGATATGAGTCACTACATTGGCCCTAACTTCTCTTATTATAAAAAGAAATAATATATATTTTTCAATGTAAAACATTTGACTGAACACATGGAATCTTGACATTATTGTGGTTGTATATGTATAGATTTACATTTTATAAGTATATGCATATATACTTATACTTTTTTTTTTTGAGTCAGGGTTTCACTCTGTTGCTCAGGCAGGAGTGCAGTGGTACCATCCTGTTTTACCGCAGCCTTGACCTCCTGGGCTCAGGCCATCCTTCCTCCTCAGCCTCCCAAGTAGCTGAGACTATAGGCGTGTACCACTTCCTCTGGCTAATTTTTTGATTTTTTTGTAGAGATGTTGTCTTGCTATGTTGCCTAGGCTTGTCTTGAACTCCTAAGTTCAAGCAATTCTTCTACCTCAGCCTTCCAAAGTGCTAGGAACAGGCATGAGCCATCATGCCTACTCCCTTATCTACTTATACTTTTTATTACAATGAATCTCATACTGATCTAAAATATATGTTCTCAGATAATAGGTTTAGGATTTTTTTCTTTGTCTTTTATAACTTGGTGATTATTTTGCAATTAAACATTGAAATGAAAGTGTCTAGAAAATTACTAGTACACCTTGTATGTTATGCCTAAAGAAGACCACATTATTATGTAATACTCCTTGAGCATCAATAACATTCTAAATATACTGTGGTTGAAGATGCAGTTCACATTATAAAAAAGCCCTCTGAAGACTGCATGAATCTTGAAGACTATGGCTAATTATAAGAATTTTTTTTGAGTTGTAGTCTCAAAAAAAATTTTCTTTTAATTTTATTTTTTTGTTGCCCAGGCTGGAGTATAGCGGCATGCTTATGGCCACCACAGGCTCAACCTGCTGGGCTTAGGCAATCCTTCTGCCTTGACCTTCCAAGTAGCTGAAGAATCTTTATATGTACGAAAGGGAACTCCCAAAAAAATTGGAATTATTTTTTGGAGAGTGGGCCCCTTGTGCTACAGGCTTCTCCCACTAGATAAGAGTTCTAGGAACTCATTGATATCAGCATATCAACTGGTGTTGTTGTGAGAGGCTGCGTTCATCTTCAGTGAATTTTTTTTTGGAGGTTCTTTCAATGTGTTTGCTCATTTCATGATGGGTGATTTACGAGCACACCTGTCCATTCCAAGCTGAGCGTTCAGCAGTTTTTGACCAAAAATAGCATGACCTTCATGCCTCACCCTCCCTATTCACTTAATCTTATCCCAAGTGACTTTTTTTGTTTCCCCAGATTAAAAAGTCCTCAAAGGGAAACATTTTGCCAATTGAGTTCGAGACTAGTCTGGGCAACATAGCAAGAGTCTATCTCTACAAAAAAATTAAAGAAAATTAGCTGGACATGGTGGCATGCACTTGTAGTCCCACCTACTTGGGAGGCCGAGATGGAAGGATAGTCTGAGCCCAGGAACTGGGGGCTGCAGTGAGCTATAGTAGTGCCACTGCACTCCAGCCTCAGTGACAGAGGGAGTCACTGTCTTTACATTTTTTTTTTTTGAGTTGGAGTCTCACTCTGTTGTCAGACTGGAGTGCAGTGGCCGCTCCCGGCCACCGCAGCCTCGACCTGCTGGGCTCCGGCTATCCTTCTGCCTCAGCCTTCCAAGTAGCTAGAGCTACAGGCACATTCTACCACACCTGGCTAATTTTTGATTTATTGTAGAGATGAGGTCTTGCCAAGTTGCCCAGGTGGGTCTCGAACCCGCGGGCTCAGGGAATCCACTCACCTCAGCCTCCCAAGGTGCGGGATTACAGGCTGAGCCACCGAGCCTGGCTGTATTTACATTTTTAATAGGAGTGATGAGAGTGGACAATGATGGGGAAGAATATTCAGTCATTTACTGTTAGCATTGTGTTAGTTGTAGGGTTTTGTATATGTTCTTTATCAGGTTAAGGAAGTTCCTCTCTATCTAATTTGCTGAGTTTTTTAAAAAAAATCATGAAGGGCTACTGAATTTTGTCAAGTGCTTTTTCTACTTCTAAAGATGGTCATATTGTTAAAAGAAAAAACTTAAGACAAATTAAATTGAGCAGTGTTTAATTGAGCAATAACAAGTCACAAATCTGAGACTCTTCAGAACCAGAGACTCCAGCACAGCCATGTGGTAGAAAAAGATTTATGGACAGAAAAAGGAAAGTGAGGTACAGAAAATGGAAGTGAGGTACAGAAACAACTGGATTGGTTACAGCTCTGTTTACCTTATTGGCACCCAGTTTGAATAGTTGGCCACATTTGATTGGCTGAAACTGGGTGACTGGGATAAGAGTGGGTTACAGTCTGTTTACATATCCACCTAGGTTGCAGTTTTCACTATGTGAAATATTGCAGAGAAACCTCTAGGCTGAACCCCAAATATGCAGAGTGACAGCTTTGAGCTAACCTTAATTTAACAGTATGATTTTTCTTCCTTAGTCTGTTAATATGGTGAATTATATTGATAGACTTTCAAATATTGTCATGCATTTCCAGGGTAAGCCCCACTTGGTCAAAGAATACTTACTTTTAACTAAAAAATTCAAAGATACACAAAAGTGGAGAGGCAAGTACAAAGAACCACTCTACATCCATCATGCAGGAGAATCCTTCCTGTTCATGGTAATATATTTTTCTGGTGCTTCTAAGAGTTGGTCCAGCCTTCCTGCCTGTTGTATTCTGTTAAGGTAGAGATACTTGACTAGTGTATTGGAATTTCGTAATACATATATTTCCATGTCAGTTACCATTTCCAAACCTTTTGGCTACCTTCTACCCCCACTCCTGCCCATCTTTTTCCCTTGTCACTTTTCTTTTCTTTTTTTTTTGAGCTGGAGTCTCACTCTGTTGCCCAGGCTGGAGTGCAGTGGCATGCTCATGGCCACCACAGCCTCAACCTGCTGGACTTAGGTGATCCTTCCGCCTCAGCCTTCTGAGTAGTTGGAACTATAGGCGTGTGCTACTACCCCCGGCTCATTTTTGATTTCTTGTAGAGAAGAGATCTCACCAAGTTGCCCAGGCTGGTCTCGAACCCCTAGACTCAGGCAATCCTCTCGCCTCAACCTCCCAAAGTGTTGGGATTACAGGTTTGAGCCCGGCTTCCCTTGTGACTTTTCACAATTCTTAGCACTGATTATAGTGTAGATAATTTCAGTATTCTTTCCCATTTTCATTCAGTTTGGTTCTGACCTGTTCTCTCCCATTTCTCTCCAACTTGCATTTAAGGGTCCAAAGAATTAACGTATCTTTCTTGACAAAAGTTTGAGGATTTCTTCTGTAATGACAATAATATATGGAAGCTTTTTAAAAATTGTGCTATGAATTGCTTACTCTTGAGCATGTTAATTTTTATTGCTAGGGATTAATGAGTCAATCACCAGATGTGTCATTTTAGCTTAGTTGTATTCTCATTTGTATAATGTACTTACCTCTGTAATATATTATTTAAGTTTTCAGCACTATTTAAACAGCTTTATATTGGTGGTAGTTCTATTTGCTGGAGGTTTTCTGTAATTCACTTTTATGCAATGTTTGTTACAGTGACGGTGGATCAGCTTGCATCAGTCCCAGAATGGTTTTTCCATGACTAGTTACGATCCACAGGCAAAAAATACATTTTTAGACATTCTACCAGGAACAGTTTTTATTATTCTAAAGGGAGCTTTATCCAACTGGACATCTGATTTAGCACAAGATTTACAATTAGTGGTCTGATGGATTCTTTCTAATTATAAGAAACTAATTATATTTTTAAATGCATGAATCATTACATTGGAATTAGAGTATTTTGTGTGTTTCCAGATCAGATACATGTGGGAGTGCTACTTTTTAATCATTCTTAATCTAAACAATTTTTATTTGTTTATTCTTCAGAGATTTCAAAGTGGCCTTTTTGCTTTTCAGTAAAGTATAGGATTTATATTTTCTTGACTCTACAGTACTCTTGTCTATAATTCTGACTTATAAGATCTTGAACAGGTTGGCTTTGGTTTGACTTGTGTTTATTACCAAAAGTTGGCTTATTAGCACATCATGATTCTCTGTTAAGTTTGATATATTTCCTTAAGTCAAGAGTCCTATGAAGTGTGGTGTTAATTTTTAGGCAACTCTTCTTTTTCAAATCTGAAACTAGGTGATTTTTTTCCATGTCTCAGTTTTATATTCATCTTGACCAGAGAGGACAAAGTAAACTTTGGATCCATTTTATTATCTGTAGGGGGGAAAAGCATTGTTTCTCATTTTTGATGAAGTTTTCTGTCCTTGAGACATCCGTATTTAGACATGAATTTCTATTTCGCATGGTCTCAGAGAAGGGTTTTATTTTGTATTCACCATCTACCTTGGCATAACTCCAGTCTTAGAGGTTCCCACGTTGCTTTTTCCCTCCAACATCTCTCAACAGGGATACAGTTACCTTTAATTTGCTTTGGGGAGAGAGCCATGTTGGAAAAGTTGAGAGATGACAAGTAGTTATCTTATTTATTTACTATACTGTAGGGTTTCTTGAGTGAGTTTACCTTCAACATATTCAAATTTAGAAACATTTTGTAATTTTTTTCGCTA